AAAAAAAAAAAAAAAAAAAAAAAAAAAAATCCAGATTTTTAAATCTACTGGGAATTATGGACATAAAAGTTCTCATAGTGTTCTCAGCAGTCCTCTGGGCAAGGTGCCCACCTTAACCCCGACCGTCCGCCCGCCCTCCAGCATCCCAGACGGTGGTCGCAGCCCCCAGCCACGTGCAGACGCAAAAGCCGGTGACTGAGTGAGAAATCAGGCTTCACTGGAAGCACTGAGCAGAAGTTAGAGAACTACTTCTCAAGAACTCAGGAAACTCATGTGTCAGAAAAGGTGACTCATAAATATACCAAAAGAATATGGCTGCACAGATATTAGAATCTGATCAGATAAAACAGTTTAGGGAATTCCTGGGAGCCTAAAGTAAGCTTACAAAAACCTGCTCTTTGCACTGTGTTAAAGACTTCACAACAAGAGAAGTAAAACCTGAAGAGATCACTTGTTCAGAACATTGCTGACAGAAGTATTTAAAAATGACTCAAAGAATATCCATGAGATTTCAGGAATACCATATTCAGCAGCACGAAGCCCTGGCAGCTAAAGCAGGACTTCTTGGCCAGCCTCAATAGAGAAGTCCCAATGGATGGACTCTGAGTGGAGGCTGCCATAGCTGTTGCGCTGGGAAAGAGGATCCATCTAGTGGAATCTCTGGAAGCGGTGGGCGCCATGTCAAAACATCTGTCATGACTATTTGGCAAATGGAAACCACTGGAAAAACACAATTGCTGCTCACCAGGAATAGTCAAAAGGTCTTATTCAGTGAAAACAGTAAGATGCAACATTTGTTGAGGCCTTAAGATTCAGCAGCTTGGTCCTTCATTAGAAAGATAAGCCACTGTTTTTTCAATTTTAAAAAATATATGTTCAATCATATAAGAAAAAAATTTATTATTGAAAGTGAAATAAATGGAAATATCACTGAAGAAAAAAAGTTCTCATAGTAACAGCCCCTATAAATGCATACATTGTTTCTAATAGAAACATCTTCAATTTCTAGTCTTGCTGTTAAGTGTACATGAGTAATGTTTAATAAAAGAAGTTCTAATTATTGACAAGGAAAAAAATCATCTGTTTTTAGTTTCTTAAGGCAGTGCTCTTTATCTCCCTGACATAGGGCAAAAAAGCAGCACAGCAAAGTCACTTTTTTTTTCTTTTTTAATTGGACACGGGAGTAAACAAAGTCTCTTCCCCCTCACCTTTATTCTCTCTGCCAAGTTGCTGAAAGCCACTATCATATTCCCAGGCTTATTTATTTTTTTCAGGACTCGTACTGTCTGTGCAAAGAGAGTTGGGGAATAGGAACGTCCATCTTTGGGCACAGTAGCACAGAAATTTTCCTCATCCCTGGAAGGTCAGCAAGAGAAAGAAAGTGAGTACCAGAGAGCAGGTCCATGGAGAGGGAAGAAATGGGTTTGAGAGCAGTCATTCTCATCATTTATAAGCCAGGAATGTCCTTCTCATGTAGAAAGACTTCTGATTATCTAGGAAGGAGTCTATCAAGTATCCCATGGCTATAAAAGACTACTTCTTTCCCATAGTATGCCCAGTAAAGTTTATCTTTGCACAGGTCAAGGAGAATGTTGGAAATCCTGAAAAATGTCCCACAGATTATATGAAATCTCCCTATTCAAAACTACAGAACTCCTTCATCAATCAACTGGAAATGACTATTTCTTTTCCGTTTCCACACAATAGCCAAGCAGTTATTCTGTTATCAAAACTTTAGCATCCCCTTCTATTTGGCCAATTCTAATCTCATGTACCCAAGATTTAGGTAGATAGTGCAGATATCCGATACAAGCTGCTGGGGTTTGAAGTCAAATTCACTGAAGTCCTTCACTTTTAAGGCACCCATCTTGGGGCCAACCAGGTGCTGCAGGAAGTAGTTCAGCATGGAGATGATGCGCTCAGCTAGGAACGGATGAACGAAGAGCGATTTGATTTCTGGAAAAAAAACAGTCTCTGAAAACTCAGTCCATTGTAATCTTTTATGTCTAGTTTACTTGGAGATCTTGGGACTGATTTTTTTACATTTTTTTCAATTACATAAGTAATACATTTTCACTGCAGAAAGTACAGATGAACAAAACTGAAAAGGAAATGAAAACAACTGGGCATGGTGGTTGCACACCTATAATCCCAATACTGGGAGGCTGAGGCAGGAGGATTACAAGTTTGAGCCCAGACTGAGCAATTTAACGAGACCCTGTCTCAAAATTTTAAAAGCAGGGGGGCAGGGGACTGGAGATGTAGTTCAGTGTGAAGGCCCTGGGTTTGATTCCCAGTATCGCATAGAAAAAAGTAGAACTCTTGGCCAGAAGTAAACACTGTTAATATCTTGCTAGATATCAGTCTTTTTTGGAGATATATATATATATCTTAAAAACAGAAATGATTATATTGTACATATCCTATAACTTTTCTCAGCAACTACATCATATTTTATTTTATTTTATTTTATTTTTTTTTGTTTTTGTTTTTGTTGTTTTTCTCCGGTACCGGGAACTGAACTCACGACCTTGCGCTTGGCAGGCAGGCGCTTTTGCTGCTGAGCTAAATCCCCAGCCCCCAGCAACTACATCATAAACATCTTACCATTTTAGTAAGTGTATGTTCCTGTGCTGTCCAACATATTAGTCACCAACCACATGTACTTTAAAATTTTATTTTTTAAATTTTGAGACAGAGTCTTGTTTTATAGTTCAGGCTGCCCGTGAGCTTACTATGTACACAGGCTGGCCTTGAACTTGTGGCTATCCGCTTGCTGAGTGGTGGGATTTTGGGAGTGCGCCTGACTTAAATTAATTAGACAGGGTCCCGCTATGCAGTTCAGGCTTGCCTTGAACTCACTATGGAGCCCAGGCTGACCTCAAACTCTCAGTGATCCTAAGAATTCAACTTTTTAGTTGCACTAGCCTAGTGGTGGTACATGTACCATGGAGGGTTATTTGTTATCACTGGAAGCTCTGAAAGGTTCGCGATCACTGCACTAGCCATATTTAAAGTGTTCATCAATGAGATGTGAAAGGAATGTATAGTATTGGAGAGCCCAGATTTATAGAACATTCCCACCATCACAGAAGGTTCTACAGAATAACACTGACTGATGCTGTTTATTATGGCCACATAGCTTTCCACACCACACAGTGTAGTGGTGACTATACTATGAGTCAGTCTGTCTTTACTGCTGTACATTTTGAACACATTCACTTTTTCCTATTATAAAAGTCTTATTGATGAGCTTAATGTGTAGAGCAGTCCACCTTACCCACTGCTTCTCTTTGCACAGTTTCAGTTACTCATGGCTAATCATGGTTGGAGAATACTGAATGGAAAATTCTATTTTCCTGAGTAGCTAGGACTACAGGTGCATATCACTGCACCCAGCCGAAAGGAAAATTCTGAATAAACAAGTGCTCAGTTTTAAACTGTACCATGTTCTGAGTAGTGTGATGAAATCTTGGCTGTCCAGCTCCACTCCATCCTGCATGTGAATCAGGCTGTATATATTACCTGCCCACTAGTTAGTTAGTAGGTTTCTTGGTCATCAGATGAACTGCTGTGGTCACCAGTGACCTGCGTTTAATTTAGTGATGGCTCTGAATTGCGGAAGTATTGATTCTGTCAATTTGTATATATTAAAGAGAAGCCAGAAAGTGCTTCTTTCAAGTGAAAAAGGTGAAAGTCTTTAATAAGGAAGGAAAAAAAAATCACATGGTGAGTTGCTACAATCTACATAAATTATTATCATTAATCTCTTACTATGCCTTATTTTAAAAAGTTATTTGTTTGTTTATTGAGACAGGGTCTTACTATGTAGTTGAGGATGGCCTTGAACTCCCTATATAGCCCAGGCTGGACTCAAACTTCTGGCAGTGTTCCTACCTCAGCCTCCTGAGTGCTGGGATTATAGGCATGTGCTATCGCACCCAGCAGTGTGCCTAATTTATAACTTGAATTTTATCTAGGTATGTATATAAGGGAGAAACAGTATATACAGGTTTGGTACTATCAGTAGTTTCAGACATCCGTGGGGATCCTTTGAACTCACTTTCTGAAGATAAGGGGAGACTCCTGTTTATATCTTGCAGATGTATTACTTCTTCACAACAAATTTGTAAGAACTGCTAGGTCACAGGGCATGAACTCCAAATATTAAGAAAAATAAACTAATACCTCCTAAGTTTAGTAAGCCAGATAGCATGATGACACTTGCTTAGTACTGTTGCTCTTGATTTTTAAATATTAGCCATTATCTAGATTCTACTACAGATGAAGATTCAGCTCTTACTTCCAGTCCCACTTTGCTTCCCCAAATACAAATCCTCAAAATATACCCAAATTTTTGGCTAAACAATTTAGAGTTTAAATCATTAAGATTAGGGTCAGAGATATAGCTCAGCAGTGCAGCGCTTGCCTGGCAAGTGCAATGTGATGAGTTCTATTCCCAGTAAAAAAACAAAACAAGCCGGGCATAAGGCAGGAGGACTGTTGCGAGTCTGAGACCAGCCTGGGTTACAAAGTGAGCTCAAGGCCAGCCTGAACTGCATAACAACACCCTGTCTCAAAAAGACAAAAAAAAAAAAAAAAGAAATTTTACATATATATATAAATATATATCCCAGCTTCAAATGTCACTGTTGTAAATTCAAAGCTGTTTAGATTCTTCCCTACCCTTTGGTTTGACACTATATCTCACCACATATCCCAGGCTGGCCTTGAACTATGCTGGGAGGCCTTGAACCCACGGGCTCCCAAGTGCTGCGATTACAGGTATGCACCATGATACCTGGCTTGCCATTTTGATTCTTAAACCACAGTACATGTCTTGACTTCCCTCAGGGATTCTTTAAGGTCTTCTCTCTACCATGATTTTCTAAAATTTCACAATGATGTTCCATAGAGTGGGTTTTAAAAAAAACTTTCTGTGACAGCTTCTTTTAGAGGCTATATTAAGTCTTGGGAACTTTTTGGTATGATTTTTTCCTTTCCTAAATTTTCCTTTTATGACTTCCTAGATCCATCACTTATATTCTTGCCTTTCCTCTTCTTTTTCTTTGTTCTTCTTTCATGGAAGAGTTCCTTGAATTTATTCTTCTAATCCTTCTAGTGAGTATTTAAAAATTTTTAAAGTAAATTTTCAATATCCAAAGCTCTTTTTTTGTTTTTCTGTTTTTTTTTTTCTGGTACTGGGAATCGAACTCACGACCTTGCATTTGCCAGGCAGGCACTGTACCGCTATGCTAAATCCTCAACCCCCTCTTTCTTACTCTTTAAATAATTTCTTTTTGGCATTTTTGTTCTTGTTTTGTGGCTACTGTATATTCTTTTGCCCCTATGAGATCACAAAATTTTTAAAGAAATTTTAAAAGTTTTCATCCATTACCTATGTTTCACAGTAGAGGGTTTCCTGAAATGTCTGGATAGTTTAGATTCTTTTTAATGCTAAGCCTGTAAGTGTAGATCTTATACTTATAGCACAACTTAACTCAGACTAGCCACATTTCAAATGCTTGACAGTCACATGTGGCAAGAGACTACTGAATGGGACTGTGCAGCTCCAGAGGGAGTGGAAATAAATGTCTTTGTTAGATCCACTCCATCTAACCAGGACTACAATACTTTTCAGATTAACATATGCACATATACATGTATATATGTGTATGTGTGTGCATATCTATATGTGTAATATATATGTGGTATACACCATATATATGGCTAACATTCCCATAAAAGTTTTTGTTGTTATTGGTACTGGGGATTGAACTGCATGCTAAGCATGTGCTCTACCAGTGAGCTCTGCTTCCAGCTCCCTCAAGAAATCAACTGTGTTACCAACTTACCCTTTCTGAAATGTCAATAGTGGACACCATCATTCTCTGTGAAACTTCCCTCATGACTTATTTCCCTATGTGATGTGCAGGATATTGTTACCAGAGTCTGAATTCTTAGTTTCATTGGGTTGATCCCCCAAAAATAGCAGATCTTGTCTACTACATCTTTTGCAGGGGAGATAGCAGGGGAGGCTTTCTTTCCTTACCTGATGTTAGGAAGGCGAGGGTACCAATTGTTTCATTGGACATGATGTTATGGAAACGTGCCAGCTGCCCAAACATCTGTAAGCCAGCCTCTTTTTCTCGGCGGGCTTCAGGGGTTAGACTATCCCATTCACCTCGGTCCTTCTCAATTTGCTGAATTTTTATCTTGCTCAAATACTGCAGAAACCATAGATGAGATGTATCAGAAAAGTACAGTAGAAAGTACATGACATTTAAGAGGTCTTAAGATCTAGTCAACTAAGCTGGGAAAACTAGAGATAATAAGAGAGATACGAACTTTTATTTGTCAGCACAGGAATAAAGCTTAAAAAGAACTTTTGGAAAGAAAGAAACTGTAACTTTATAGAGATTTAGTTTGACCTGGGCAGAGTCACAAGTAATTCCCCTAGAAGCAATAAACTACTATTAGGAAATAGAAAAATGGTATAATATATGAAACCCAGGCTGAGACACAGGCTACAGTGAAAAACTAAATCCTTTCTGAAAGATGAAAAAGCCCTGCTTACCAAACATGAAAGCTCTATCAAATATGTAAGACATCTGGAAGGTGAACTGTAATTAGTTAAAACTCTCTACCTTTCATCATCCTTACTGTTATAGCAAACAATAAATTAAACAGTCTCATAAAAATGTCACCTGCTTCATTCTTATGTCACACTGCTCTTTTTTAAAAGGGTCTGTTTATAACAGGACCTGAACAGATTTTCTTTAGTGTATAGCATTATGAAAAAGGCAGGAGGACAAAGCTTTCTCACAAGCTAAGCACAAGTTGTTTGGGTGCTGCTAATCAGTAAGAGTAGCTCCTCATTGTCCAATGGCTACACTCAGGATTTCCCTGCCTTAGCACTGTCGCCAGTCTAGCTTACACTCATCACAGGGAAGTTTTGTGGTACACAGTAGGCACTCTTGAGTTTTTATAGGAACAATAAAAGCAGCTCCATAAAGAATGGTGAAGGAAAACACTGCAAGAGCTGACAGATACGCAGCTGTACTTTACACTTTGTAAAGTGCATGTTTTACAATATAGCTAGGGTTAGCGGGCAGCAGGTAGATGAAGAACAATGCTGATTTAGTCTTTATATTAAAAAATAACCCAGAGGCTTTTTAAGTAGTAATGCAAAAAAAAAATCAGAATTTTTTTTTTCAGAATCTGAAAGATGGAGAAATCACTATTTTAGTGAACCTCGGTTACTGATGTGTAGGAAACAGGTGACAATGACCAAAAATAAGCGCTTCCGATTTTTTTCTGTAATGTTGGCCTGATGACTCCTACCAGTATACCTTAGTTGCTTTCATCACACTACCTTTTTAACTCTGTCAAAGTACCCATGCTTGGCCACGAGGCCTCAACAACCTTTGATCTCTAATAGAACACTAACCTAGAAAGCACTGTAGTGGCAAGCTGGTAGGTATACTACTGCTCAGTTTTGGTTTAGGCTGGGGCATAAGAATTGCTCTAAGGTCAAAAGTATATACTGATGATGATTTGCTGGTATAGAAGCAGTTAAAAATTTTTTAAAGACCTGTATGGCTTCATCCAAAAGGAAGATGGCATCGTTCATTAGCAGGTTAAGAAAGCGGAGGAAAAGTGGGGGATTCATGGCTTCTAAATTCTTAGAGGCATAGTCAGCCAAATCCTGAAAGAAGAGAAAACTTTTAGTACTGAATCACCATGTGCTGGGGCTTATTTGAAGTAACTGATTTCACCAAAAATCCTCTCACCTTAATGCTCTCCCGATAGGACTCTGTCCCCCACATGTATCTTAGGATGGGATACATAGGGCGGCGGTAATTAAACTTCTGTTCAAATTGATGGGGGTCTCCTGGAGTAAGGGAAGAGTGAGAGATCAGCAAATGCAGTCTACTAGAGAATTAGTAGGAGCTTCTATGTGCAGTCATTTTCTTCTATTTAGAATGTATCAAGGTTACTGGCAAGCTGGGCGTGGTGGCACACACCCCAGCACTCAGGAGCCTGAAGCAGGAGGATTGTTGTGAATTCGAGACCAGCCTGGGCTACAAAGTGAGCTCAAGGCCTACCTGAACTGCATAGAGAGACCCGGTCTCAAAAAGCAAAAAAAAGGGTACTGGCAAAATCTACAGTTTCTAAAGGCCTAGATAGAGTTGGGCCAACTGGTTGCTAATCCCCTTACTGACAAAACAAGGAGGAAACAGATGGATACCTTACTCAACAAAAGACAAGGACCACATTGTCAAAAAAAGCCAAGGAAAACTAATGTTTCCATATCCAAATATGCACTACATGAGTGAGGCCTCTGGGCTGGTGTTAGATGGGGAAAGTCTCGTGCAAAGCGGGATCCTAAGTAATCCTTCACATTCTTCACAGACTATATCCCAACTGTGTACCCAACTGGTTCTTGCTTCTTCTGAAAAATCAGGCCTGTGCTTAAAAATCATAGGCTTATCTTGCCCTATAGCTGAGTCATATAATAAAGAAAGAGTGTAGGATTTAGAGTCAGAAGACCGAGGTTTTCATTCTGCCTCCATTTAACACAAATGTCTTAATTTTTGCAGCAATAAAACCAAAATTGTACCATATTACATCTCTATAGTTATATGGTCACATGATGATATAATGGCAGTGATATGTTGTGCAACTCCTTATGTATGATGAAGATTTATATGTGCTATTTCACTGAAACATTGCTTTGACCCATTTTATAGATGAGGAAATTAAAGCCTAGAGGTAAGCAAGTAACACAACCACAAACCAAATACGGAAAGGGCAGCCAGTAAAATGTTAAATACCTCTTTAAATGTTAAATGTATGTATCACTGGAGGGTCGGACATCCCCTTAAAGTGGTCTTATGCAACTCCTTAACATATCTTGCCTGACAGTTGAGAAGAGATACTGTTTAATCAAACATAGAGACTTGAGGCTAAAGAGAAAGGGAATGCTGCTTGCTGATGTTAGAAAGTTAAGCTATATGGTTAAAATAAAGAACTCTCTCAATCATTATGCTATCTCATTATCCCCATTCCAATATTTTGAGGCAGAGAAAAATGACCTAGTTTTTCATTAAATAGCCTAACTTGATTGAGTATATGATTTCACCAAACAATATAATGTGGTTGATAAAAATATGTACTTTTTTTGGTGAGAGAGAGCTAGTTCTGCCACTTAGCAGGTGTGTAACGTGGACAAATAGTTTAATCTTTTTTTCTTTTTGCAGTTGAACCCAGGGCTTCATGGATGCTAGGCAAGCCTTGTACCACTGAGCTATATCCCCACCACTAGTTTACTCTTTTGAACATCCACCTCTTTATATATAAATTTGGAATAATAAAATTATACTTTTCAGATGGTGACAAATAAATGATATATTTTTAAAAAGCAGCAGCTGGACACGGTGGTGCATACCTGTAATCTCAGCAGTCTGGGAAGTTGGGAGAGGAGGATTAAAAATTTCAGCCTAGCCTTGGTAACTTAGTAACTGAGATCTCGTCTCAAAATAAAAAATAAAAAAAGGGCTAGGGAAGACCCTGGGTTTAATCCTCAGTATTGGAAACAAAACTCCAAAAAACCCAAAATGAAACAAAACGGCATCAATCATAGTAGATATTCAATAAACGATGGCTTTGACAGTTCTCTGACATTCAAAAAGTGATCAAACTATGCAACTCCAGTGATATTTGCTTCTCAGTTCTGGACCTGGCTAGATGGCTGGTTTACCTGTAAACTCAATGTCCACAAAAACTTTGATTAGAGCTTCCGCAAGCTGGGGTGCATATGTAAAGTTACAGAACACACGTTTCCGATGGAACACACTGGACATCAAGGGATTTGGAGTCTGATCTAGGTGAGGCATCACTGCTTCCAACACCTCAGCTAGTTTGGCCCTTAGGTGTGGATTCTTCATTCTGCAAAATGAGTAGAAAACAAGATGAGGAGGTAAACTTAACTCCCCAATTTATGGTTCTGTTCTTTCTACACAAGGGGCCAATCCACCTCTGCAGTTTTAAGTCTTGTCACTCCTGGGGTGATGCAGGGTACATCATTTAACACTTGAGATACAGTTTACCCAATATGAGGATGAGCACTTAAGTTTTTATTTTAAGCTTAGCCATTCAATTTTCTTCTCTACAATGCATTATTTATTGCATACTATTCTCTCACATTTTCACCTTAGACAAATCTGTCTTCCAAAGCTTTCTGGAGATAAAGATTAGGTTGTAATTACCTTACATTACCCACAAATGCATATTGTGTGTGCCTAATACTAGTTGACTTACATTTCTTACTAGGTCTGCTCTGCTCAGTGAAAGGTTGACTTCTACCTACTTTTCATTAATATGGCTCAGGGAATTGTAGGTCATTCTTGTCACCATGTAATAAACATGCACTTCTGTACATAGATTTCCTTTGGCCTATGCAACAAAAAAACCAGGGAGGCAATTCTAAAAGCCATGGCACCTTCCTTTTGGAAGGCGGGCTAGAAAGATGAGAAAGAAGATTTGATTCAGTTTACTAATCATCCAAATCAGAACAGCAAGAGCAAGCATGGTTACCACAGAATTAGTAGAAGAGCACTAGTGCCTGGCTGCCTTTGATAAGGTTTCTGGAATTACGGGAACTATTTTAAGCAGCAACCAAAAGTGGAAATCCCATCAGGTACCTCATGTAAGTTCAAACGCCTCTCAACAGTGGGATTTTTGGTTACCCATGGGATGGTCAGGTGATTCATTCATTCAACTTCTCAAGACAACCCCTTATGAGTCAGGCTTGTTTATTTCTTGGTTTAGAAGTCTTTTGAAGTTTTTCACCTCTAAACAGTGACAGAGCCCAGCTTTCAGCACTTCACCTTTCTATGCTTCCAGTGAAAATAGTGATAAAGTGAAGGACGTGCTCCAGGGAATCTGCTGATGTCTCCAAGATATCGTCAGCAAAGCGGCGCAGAAAAATGAGGAAATCACCCAGGTTATCCGCAAAAAACTCTGAAAAATAAAATATTCACTAGAATCAGTCAAATACTTGTCTATTAGTACTAAACATTTAAATACCTCTCTTTCATATTACTTAATAAATGTTTAAAAAAAAAATAAACCAAAGGTCTTACAAGACTAGGGATGGTGATAAGTTAATGAATGCAGGTTCTCCTTCAAACGTTAACTCCTCTGTAGTTTTATTTATTTTTACTTCTTGAAGTAAGGGCCTTCACACTGAGCTACATTCCCAGCCCTGTTTTAATTTTTTATTTTGAGACACAGTCTTGTTAAATTGCTATATTCCCCACACTGGGCTCAAACTTGCAATCCTCTTGCCTCAGCCTCCTAAGGTATTGGGATTACCATGTCTGGCTTGCAGTTCTACATTTATCCAAGTAAATATATAAACCACAATAACCTAACACACTGATATACTGATTTCTACTCTTAAGGTCAGCTATCACTTATATTTAAACCCTTTAGGTGTCTGAAGAATTGCTAATCACGACTCTGACATCTGCTGACTATGGTAGCCAGCCTCTGGGGTTGTCCCACAATGATCCTCATCTCCTAGTCTTCTTGCCCTTGTGCAGTCCCTTCCTAGATTCTTCCAGCATAGAAGATACATCCTGAAGTGCACAGCAGAAGAGACAGTGTCATTTCTAAGACTCAGTATAAAAGCTTACAGCTTGTATTTTGGGTTCTTGCTTCTGGGGGAAGCCACTGCCATATCATCAACAATGCTAAGGAAAGACTGATAGGGTTTAGAAAAGAGGCTGCTGGCCAAAACTGAGGCCTGTCAACAACCATATGACTGGACTTAGAAGTGGATCCTTCAGCCCTAGTTGAGTCCCCAGATCCCTATGCCCCTCATCAACAGCATAGCCACAACCATGTGAGGTCCTCGAAGTCAGAATTATACAGCTGAGTGCACCTGGATTCCTGACACACAGATACTGTGTAAGATTTTTTTTTGTCAGTACTGGAGATTGCACCCAGGGCTTTCATACTGAGCTACATCACTTGTTCTTTTTTCATTTTTTTATTCTGAGACAGGGTCTTGCTAAGTCACTAAGTTGCCCAGGCTGGGCTTATATCTATGATCCTCCTGCCTCAGCCTCCCAGACTGTTGAGACTGTAGGTGTGTATCACAATGCCCAGCCATGTTTATTGTTTTAACTTGCTGCATTTGGGGGCATTTTGTTCAACAGCACTATATTGTTTTTTATTTTATTACTAAATGCATTTTACAATCATCTTGAGGAATTAGTACATGTATAATAGAGTTTCTTTCTCAACCACAATATTTGAACAATACAGTGATCAAGTACATTTAACCTGCCAGGCGTGGTGCAGCACACCTGTAATCCCAGCACTCCAGAGGCTGAGGCAGGAGGAGTGCCACAAGTTCCAGGCCAGCCTGAGTTACATAGTGAGTTCAAGGCCAACCTGAACTATACAGTGAGAAAAAGAAAAGAAAAGAAAATTAACCTGACTTGAAGGATAATATCTGCTGACCCCTCCCTGACATACACACATACATACATACAATTTTCCTTCTATGTTAACAGATGATTTTTTTTCTAGAAAAAGCACAAGAAGAGGTTAGACAGATAAATTTGTAAGTTGAGTAACAAGCAATATTACTGAGAGAAACTATTAGCTATGAAAACCCTGCCTGCATTTAGTTTTTCCAAGATTGTTTTTTGATATGCAAGGCAGGAGGGACCCATGGTTGAGGAATACATTGTTAGTCCCCTCATACTCTGACCAGGAGATATTTACAAGTTGGAACTGTTTCTCCAAAAGCAACTTAATAATAACTAAGGAAGAGTACTTTGAAGCTTAAACTTCCAAAGTGACCCAGTTAAACTTAGCTAGTTATAAATAGAAAGTTCCCAAGGAAGAGCTTGCTTACCTGGCACATAAGCCAAAGAGCTGTAGCCATCTGGCAAAGGAAAAGTTAGCTCTACTGGCTGTGAGCCCTCATTGCCTATGGCCAGCTGAACCAGAAGAACAGCCATCGACACCTGCAAATTTAGGCAGTTTTGTAGCATCTGCGGCTCAGTCATGGCAGTCTTGGTAGAAAGATAGATGGTCATCAGTCGTTCAAACTGCTCACGGAGATTGTCAGCAGCAGGGCTAGAACTCTGCTGAGCATCCCGCCAGGCAACCTGCAGCCGATGCAGATTTTGGTTGATTTTTACCATCTGATCATGCAACCTGCCCCCAAGAAAGCAGAAGAGACTGAGTCAGGGAGGCTCACATGGGGATAGTCTAGTAAAGACCATTCCAGAAAAACAAACCTCCATGCATATACTCTAAAATGCTCTTTGAGGATGTAGGGAGCTGTAATCACAATGACACTGAAGGCACTCATGAAAGTTACTGACAAGACAGAGGTAAGATGTGTAGGCCTGGGAAAATGTTACCAAGTGTTCAAGAAAATTGAAGCTAATTACAAATAGTTAATAGGCTTCAGCTGAAATGCACCAAGCTTGGTCGAGTGGGATGCAGAGTGGGCTGTTATTAAGTAAAATAAATACAATAGGAAACTATAAAAAGCTGAGTGGGGTAGTTTTATAGTACACAAGTATAATAATTATGCTTTTGTGGGGTTATACAGATTGTTGGTCTTTTTATAGCTAGTACAACTGCCTGTAAAACAGTTACCAGCTGGGATACAACCTAAGTGCAGCTCTAGTTCTCTGTTGTTAAATGTAAAATTAATTTATTCTTCACAACAGGTCACCCAAACATTTTTCTACTGAAAGGAAGGCCTAATTTAAAGGTATGGATGATTGATTCTAGTCCAAAATAACTGCCTCTGGTCCTGTAGATAATGCTATGGGAAAGAAGTAACATTCATTTTTGTGTCTGATTCTGTATCATTAGGCAGATTAAGCACATGCTGAACTTCATTTTTCTAGTACTTTCCCCTTAGTTTGAAAAATGTCCTGTTACTTTTTTTTTTTGTTTTTTGGGTTTTTCTCCGGTACCGGGAACCGAACTCACGACCTTGCGCTTGCCAGGCAGGCGCTTTTGCCGCTGAGCTAAATCCCCAGCCCCCGAAAAATGTCCTGTTAATTCAAGCATCCTGAGAAAGCTTTAAGAATTGCTAATTCCAAATACTCTTGCTGTAAACTGAAACTATGAGTTGCTATTTATTCCCCCTTATTTATAGTCACACTCAGCGACATAAGAGGAAAAATAATTGTAGAATCATGTGTGGCTAGTCAGAACCAATAAACTCCTTTTTGCAAGTTACACACTTTAGTTCTCAAATCTTCACATTCTGGAATCCTCCTCATCTTAGATGCACAGAATTTTTGTGGTTGCACTGGTCACATTGGACTCCCTTGTCAATATTTTCTTAACTTTTGCCAATTTTTTCTCTATACTACAGAGGGGAACTTGGTCTTTTTTCATCAGAAATAATGAAATTTCAGGGCTGGGGATATAACTCAGCGGCAGAAGTAATGAAATTTCAAGACTAGAAAGTGAAATATAAAATGAAAATAAATGAAAATAATTATTTTTCCAGATGACAATAGGAAAGTAGTGATTTAAAATTTGTAAAGTGTAAAGAAAAAGTAAAAAAAAAATTTTGAGGGGGGTTTTGTGTTTTGAAACAGGGTTTAAGGCTGGGGATATAGCTTAGCGGTGCAATGTCTGCCTGGCAAACGTGAGGTCTGGAGTCTGATGCCCAGTACTCTTCCCTACTCCCTGCAAAAACAAAGAAAAAAGAAACAGGGTTTTGCTATGTAGTTCAGGCTGGCCTTGAACTGTGTAGCTAGGCTGGCCTTCAATTTGCAGCGGTTCTCGTGTTTTAGCCTTCTGAGTGCTGGGACTACAGGCCTGCACCACCACACCCAGCAGAAAAATATGAACTTAATTTTAAAAGTTAATTGGTGAGAATCAAAAAGAAATTTAAGTAACTTGGACAAAGCTGACTCATATGAACACAAATAAATACATACTATGCCCTTTCCCCACTGGAGTCTAATGTGTGCCTTTAAAACAAATCTCTAAGACTCACACTTAACTTTCCGGTTGTCAAACAACTAAATAGTTCTTTCCCAAATAGTTATTTTTTAATCACATCAAAGGAGTTACCTGTGAAATCCCAAGTACAAGGTATACTCTGTCAGGGCAAGGTTCTCGGTTACAAGATTGTAGTTCTGGGGAAACTTCGGCTCCTGCACAGCTGGAATCAAACAGGTTTCTTTGTCCAAACCTCAAAGAATAAAAATGAACAGTAAATGGATAGTCACGGACATCTCTTTTGGCCTCCTGTCCCTCTCACACTAGGTCAGCTTCCACACTGCTCCCAGTAATATCTTTTTCAAACAAACCTCACTACATTATTTCCTTGCCTAAAAGCATCTTTTGGCTTCCTGCTGCCTATAGAAATAGTTTAATGCTTTGCCTTGACCAATGAAATTATGAAAAATTATAAAGAATGATAACACTGTAGATTTTTCCAACTGAGAGGCAATGGATCATCTGTTTCTATTCTGTGCTTTCCTGATTTTAAGACTTACTTTAAAAGCTGGGTGTGGTAGTGCATGCCTGCAATCCTTGCAACTCGGGAAGCAGGATTGCAAGTTCAACACCAATTGAGCAATTGGTCTCGGAAGTGTTTCAAAATTTAAAAAAAAAGGGCTGGGGATGTTGCTGTTGTTCAGTGGTAGCGAGCTTGCCCATCATATACAAAGCCCTAGATTTAATCTCCAGTACTGTGGGGGAAAAAATTATTTGGTTTTCAGCAGGTGTCATTTTTTTTTTTAAAGGCAGGCTCTGCTGTGTACTTCAGTGTGGTTTTGACGTAGCCCACAGTGGGCTCACTCGTGGTGAAACTCCTGCCTGAGTCTCCCAAATGCTGGGATTACAGGTGTGTGGTACCATGCCGTATTAAGCAGGTGTCACTTTTATAATTACAAAACTAAAAGGAATATATAAAAATTAAGAAGTGGATCATTCTGATTGGTAGTATCACGCACTATTTCTTTCTTTCAATTTTCTGGAATTGTTCAACTTTTGTCCAGTCTGGCCCCAACATTCTTTTCCCAGACCTGTTTCCGCTACCTCCCATCCTATGCTCCTCATCCCCTTTCTCTGGGCACACTGAACTTTCTAATTACTCCTCAGTCAAGCTTTATGCCTTGTCCTTTGTTATTCCTTTTGTACAAAAAGACTCTCTTGCTCCTTTGCCTGATAAGCCCCAAATCTACACCTCCAACTTCTGCACAACTGATTATTCACTCCCTCCTCTGTGCTCTCATAACTTAGCCCTATGTCGTATTATAAGCATCTATACACTGGGCATGGTGGTGCACACCTGTAATACCAGCACTCGGGAGGCTGAGGCAGGAGGATCGTTTCAAGTTTGAGACCAGCCTGGGCTACAAAGTGAGCTCAAGGCCAGCCTGAACTGCATAGTGAGACCCTGTCTCAAAAAGACAAAAAAAAAAAAACCATGCATTAAGATAACTTTCTTTTGGAGCCTCTAAATTCAGTAACAACAGTAACTGCGTTTTATTCATTTTTATAATGAATGAATACTCAAGCCTGCCAAATCCAGAGAAAAAGTCTCACTAAAGCACAATATTAAAAGGTACAAGTTGTTTTTTAAAAAAATTGTTTTTGCCGGGTGTGGTGGTGCATGCCTGTAATCCTAGCACTTGGGAGGCTGAGGCAGGAGGATTATCACAAGTTTGAGACCAGCGAGAGCTACGAAGTCAGCTCAAGGCCAGCCTGAACTGCATAGTGAGACTCTGCCTCAAAAAGACAAAAAAAAAACAGTTGTCTTTTTTTTTGTACGGGAAATTGAACTTAGGACCTTCACACTTGCCAGGCAGGTGCCATGCTGCTGAGCTATACCCTAGCCCTAAAAAAATTGTCTTTAAATTTTTTAAAAATAAGTCATCTTTTTTATTATTATTTTGTTTCTTTGAGATAGGATCTCACCATAGAACAAGTTGGGCTCAAACTCATTATGCTGCCCAGGTTGACCTCAAACTTGTGATCTTCTTGCCCCAGTCTCTTGAATGCTAGGATTATACGTATGTACCACCAGGGTCAGCTTCCACGTCATCTTACTGAGAAAGAGGCACTTTTTGAAAAAGTATAAAGGAGTCACTGTCTTAGATGTCACACACGCACACACATGCACACACTTTTGAGAAGCCCAGTTTTCCCCTACCTCTCATGTGTACATTTTTAATTTTTCGTTCTTCATCATTCAACTCCTTCAGGGCACAGTAAGTGGGATTAAAGGTGAGAAGCCGAGAGGATCTAGGTTTACAAAATGGCTGGCACAGCTTCAGGAGGGCAGCACCCAGATTCAGAAAGAAGGCATCTGAGGCATACATCTGGAAGAAGATTTCTGGCATTTGATTCGCCCAAATCTTGGTGCGGCCTGCATTTGCATGCAAACAGTTTCCAAGCCAGGACAAGATACAGTGTTTGGTTTCTGGAGAGAGCTGGAGCAAGTTCTTCAGAATCTGGTAGATCTTTTCATGGAACTGGGCCATGAACTGTTTAGCCAGAAAACACAATCACAGAATATTCCAGTTTCACAATCCTGATGGTTTTTTACTCCCAAACCTTACTAACTTAAATTTCTAATTCTCATGTTTTCCCTTACTCTCCTTGTACCTTATTCCCATTTCTGACTTTTAAAAAGTAGATTTCTAGGTACTTAGTGAGAGATTTTCTGCTCACCTGCCACACTGCAGACAGTAGGACTTAGTTTTACAATGGGGGTTGGTAAATTTTTTTTGCAAACCACTACATGATAAATATTTTTAGCTTTGCTTATCTTATAGCCTCTGGGGGCAATTACACACTTTGGACATAAAACGAAGATATAAAAATTACGGATGAATGGACATGGCTGTTCAGTAAAACTTTACAGAAACAGGTGGCAGGTTGGATTTGGCCGCTGCTACAGTTTGCTAATACTTGCTTACCAATGGAGCTATGATGACTGAACGGTGAACGGGAGCCTTAAATTATCCCTAATTCAACCATTTAAATGCCTTACGCTGGACAGACCTCTACCACAGCTTATACTAAAAGGTCCTAATACAGAAGGGATGGGTGGAAAAAGGAGAGAAAAAAATGGGCTTAAGCTGGAGCTTAGTCAAAGATTTTAGGAATTAAGTGACAAGAAACAGCTTGATGAGGAGGGCAAGGCTTGTGGAGAAGAGGCAGGGCTCCTGCACAGAGAAAGAGCTGCAGCACCTCATTCTGACTCTCCAGGAAGGTTTATCCTCTGCTCTTAGCACATGCTACACACAGGGCAGTTTCTTTACACCACTGTGGCAAAAGCCAACCAGAACGACTTGCTTCTCCAAAGAAGCTCAAGCATCCTTATCTGTATATGATTCCTGGGGAAACTAGTCTAAGAGCAGGGGGGGCTAGGGTACCCCAGGAAATAGTTCTACCTGATGGATGTTGGCCTCCTGTACTTTGATCTCTTGAGGACTGGAACGAGACGGATTCAGGAAGTAGCCATGATTTTCTACCACACCCGGAGTCTTTAATAAGCAGGAGATATTCAGAATGACTCCCAGCAAGGTCTTCTGATACATCTGCCCATTGCTAGGGTCTTTGGGCTGAATGTATTCTACAAAAACCTGTAGGAGGAGATAAATCCTATTTACTTGTCTGTATGGTGAGATACAGGTCATGGAGTGACAGGGCCTTAGAGAGTCACATCTATACAACAACCAATCTTTCTTTATTCTATAGGTAATATAGTGTTCTTAGGACAGGAAAGCATGAATTACTAAATGTCTAGCTCCTCAAATATGTAACACCTTTCAAACCTACCTTTGCCATATCCTTTTGCCTAGTGAAATAGAGAAGAACATCCAGATATGCATACAATAAGATCTGGCAGAGCTCCAGATCTTTAATTCGGCCCAACAAAATATCAAACACTGGAATCATGACTTCAGGAAATGTTCGAACTTCCTCATCCAATATCAAGGCTTCAATGACCTCTTCTAGAAACTCAGTTACATCTTCAAAATCTAACAGAAGACAAATGAGAGAGAGGAGGCCATCAGAAGTCCCCCCGCTTTGTGGGGATTGAACTGAGGGCCTTATCCACTGAGCTATATCCCCAGTCTTTTTTAAAATTTTGAGACAGCATCTCGCTAAGCTGCTGAGTTGCCCAAGTTGGCCTAAAGTTGTGATCCTCCTGTCTCAGCCTCTAGAGTGCTGGGATTACAGGTGTACACCACCAACCCAGCAGGAATTTTTATTGCCTTCTTATACTGGCTCTTTACTTTTTCTGAATCTTTTGATACTTATATTGGTATTCAATCCCCAGGATCAAGGTGTGAGCTCTCTTCCTTAATTTATACCAGAACCACAATGACTCTGAGACTTCCTAAATAAAACGCAGGTCACTAATCTTGCTTATATACTTACGAGCTCCTTGGATGGCTTCCAACATCAAATCTACCAGTTGCTCATGGATGTTTTGGTCAACATAGATCTCTGGCGTGAGGAGAACTGTTCGGGTATTAGACACAGTGAGGTTCCTGCACTGTACTGCAAAGGGCAGCAGGTTCTCTGGGACTTTGGTAATCTGGAAACAGCATGAAGAAGAGAAGGAAGAATATAGCTCCCTATCATGGAATCAGGGCAGACCCAGCAAGAAGTCTGGAAAAAGACATTATGTTGAATATTTCAAGTACCCTTGTATATGTTTGAAAATTTATGACAGATTCACTATTTGGCTTAAGAAAACACTTACCTGTTAAAATTCCAATTTTGCAAGTGTCACATTTAGCCTACTCTAACATTTATACCTCAGCAGAAATGAATTTTTCAGACCTATTTTTACGGGTGTGGTTTCTAAAAGGACTGGACACAGATAGAAGGTACTGGTTAACTGGGAAGAGAGATGAACTCCAAATCATAGAAAGCAGGCTAAGGGTTGGACACACTCATAGTGCTTCTGATATCCAGTTCCGAGTGATGGAGATAAATTGTTATAAAAGTCACTGATCCAATTCTCACTTATGTGCTAAAGTCATACCCAAGAGGGTGACAGAGTATTCAGTGAGGGTTATTCCTTTACCTCTTCCTTGGCTCTTTGGAAGCAGGAGTAAAGGTAACAAAAAATGTGCCTCTCTCCTGCATCTCGATCGGCGGAGAGGTTTAATGTTGTAGAAGAAGTCATGTTAATCAAATGGTTTCCTGGATCTTGAAGTAACAAGCGAGCGAAGATGGCCTATTAAGAAAAAAACAAAAATACTAAACCATTACAGACTTAATCTTAGGACATTAAAATGTAAAAAGTAATTTGGAGTCAGGCTTGATGGTGCACACCTATAATCCCGGCACTCAAAAGGCAGAGGCAGGATCACCACAAGCTTGAGGCCAGCCAGGGCTAAACAGTAAGTTTAAAATCAGCCTGAACTACATAGTAAGACCTCATTTCAAAAAAAAAAAAAAGCATGAGGTCCTGAGTTTGATCCTGAGTACCCTCCTCAAAAAGATAATCCCAGCACAGGAATGCTGAATGATGCTAAGTATCAGTGATTAAATTTATATGTGAAATCTATTATTTTATGTGACTGTTGATCTCAATTAGATTTATATAAAGATAAAATATACATATTTTTTGTCTTTTTGAGACAGGGTCTCACTATGCAGTTCAGGCTGGCCTTGAGCTCACTTTATAGCCCAGGCTGGTCTCAAACTTGCAACGATCCTCCTGTTTCAGCCTCCCAAGTGCTGGGATTACAAGTGTGCACCACCAAGCCCGGCTTAAAGATAATTTTTTGAGACAGTGTCTTGTTATATAGCTCAGGATGGCCTTGAACTCAGGATGGCCTTGAACTCCTACCTCAGCCTCCCAAGTGCTGAGATTACAGGTGTGTGCCACCATTCCCCACAATATAAAAATTTAAATGTGTAAAGTGAAACTGAATTTTGTGAAGTGTCTTCCCTACCAAGCTTTTAATGTTACTCAGACACTTATATGGTACAGTGCACTTGTATGTTTGGATCTTCAATGTCTTCCAAAGGCCCAGGCATTAAAGGATGGGTCCCCAGGATGGCACTACTGGGAGATGGTGGAAAAGTCAGGAGAGGCCTGGTAGAAGGCACTCACTGGGGGTGCCCTTGAGGGCATGTGGGACCAGGTCATTTCCTCGTTCTCCTCACTCTGTGGCTCATGATGTACATGGTTGTGCCCACCATGTGAACCCACCATAGCCCAAAACAACAGGGTGACTGGTCATGGACTAGAACCTCCAACACTCTGAGCTGTTACAGTAACATAAAGCTGACTATCATGGCACTGTTTTGAGCTGGGCATAGTGGTGATGCCTGTAATCTCAGCACGCTGGGGAGTTGAAGCAAGAGGATCACAAGCTTGAGCCCACTCTGGGTAACCTGGTGAGACCTTGTCTCAAAACAAAAACTAAAAAAGGGCTGGGGATGTAGCTCAGTGCAAAGGCTCTGAGTTCAATCCCTGTCCTACAAACAAAACAAAATAGCGCTGTTTTGATTTCTGAAAGGATATAAAGAGATAGGCTTTGCCCTTAAAGAAAAAGAACTAGTAGGGAAGATAGGCCAGGTATATAAAAAAGCCACAAGATGAGACAGAAAGCAACTATAATATTCCCATTAGAGATGCCTAGACAGACTATTCTAGGAACTCATAGCAGGAAGTAACAACAACTGTCCCGCAAGCTTTGTAAATATGATGGCCTTTTTTTGGTCTTTTGGAGACAGGGTCTTGCTATGCAGTTCAGGCTGCCCTTGAGCTCACTCTGTAGCCCAGGCTGGTCTGGAACCTGCAACAATCCTCCTGCCTCAGGCTCCCAAGTGATGGGATTACAGGCATGAGCCACCATGCCCGGCTTTAATTTGTTCTTATAGGATATGTAGATTTGGACATATGCTAATGGGCAAAAAGATTCCAAAAAAGGAACTCCATAGCAATGTTAAGAGATGGAGGCAATCAAAGTCAAAGAACCGTGAGCAGTATTTAGTTATACCCTAATTTTTGCTAAAGGCACATGTTAGGAACATAAGAATGGTACCTGTTCAACATTGCTCATATCAAGCCAGTCTTGATCTTCTAGCTCTACTGCCATCTCTTCCAAATATACACAACGGCTCGGGATACCATTCCCACTTTTCATGCTTGGATCACCTGGGAAAGGTTTTAATCTGGCAGGTTAAGAATAAAGCTTCTGGTCTTACAATTAATCTTCACATCATTTGTCTTGTCCTCCAAGATTGCTTCGGTAATACCAGAGTGATCTTGATAGACAATATATTTATCTAAAGATTTCAATCCCTCCCTCTAACTCCCATGACAAAACATGAGCTCTTCTCCAGGATTCTATATTGGAAGAAAATGGACTTGGCTATCATTCTCATTTCCCTTTCAAAGTAATAAAGACAAGCAGCTATATGGCCTGGACAGTATCAGAATGGGAATGAAAGATAAGTCTAAAGATCAGTCTAAGCTTTTCTAAACTAGAAATTCTGTGTTCCAGCAAGTATTGTGTGTTTGTGTAATCATTAGATGCAAGAGGTTTCTCCCAGCCAAAGAGCTTTCTAGTCCAAGCCCAAGTAGGAAAGCAGAATAATGAGTAAATTGTTACAAGTCTGTAACTCACTGTTGTCCAGAGTGATGAGGAAGATTCTCTGGATCATGTGATTGATGTTGAGTTGCTCACATATTTCTTGCTGTGACCGGAATGAACGGCTGATCTCAGCCACAGAGTAATCAAATTCATCCAGGCTCTCTGACACACTATTATCGGAGTCATCTGGGCTTGCTGGGAGTTCATCTGTCAGAATATGTACACTATTAAACATTATACCCTTTACTTTTGAAGAGAACCAAGTATAATACCAAAAGTGATAAACGTAAAAGTATAATACCAAAAGTGATAAACGTAACCAAGAAGAAGATGATTTTGGATGTGAAACAAGTTAATCACTTAATTAGTGAACATCTCAAGTCAGGCAGGTTAAGTATAGGATTCTGAAATCCCTTGCTATAAGCTTTTTTCTTCTCTCTTTTTTTTAGATGGTGCTGGGGATTGAACCCAGGACCTTGTACATGCAAGGCAAGAACTCTACCACTGAGCCACATCCCCAGGGCCCTTGCTATAAATCTTACATCATATAAAGCAAAGTTTCGTTACTTATTCCCATAATTTTACTACACATTGCAAAATAGCAACAGAATCCTAGTGAATGAAGAATTGCCTAATAGATCACAATGCCTATAATTATTTTAAATGTATGGGTTTTTTTTTCCTTGGAATACATTTATTTTAATAATTCTAAACTGTAAAGGAAAATATACAAAGTCTCCTTTCAACTAATTTCCTACAGAGAACCAGACAATGCTCCAGATCTTCACCACCCTAAATTCTGGTGCTAATGTTCATTACTATAATTTTTAATTTAAAAAAAGGGTCGGGGGATCATACTATACACACTTTTCAACTGGCTTTTTAACTTACTCAGCACCAACACCTTTCCCTAGTAGGTCACAGAGGCCTATCTCATTCCTTTGAACAGCTGCATTTTATTGCACATTTTGCATCCACTATGAATTATGTAGCTACTTAAACTCCAAGTTTGTTCAACCGATGAACACCAGGGTTGATCCCAATTTTTCATGATTTTAAATAATACTGTACATTTCTTGTTTTTTTTTTTTGTTTTGTTTTGTTTTTTGCCAAGAGTATTCTTCTAGGATAAATTCACAGATGTAGAGTTCTTGGCTCAAGAACTCTAAAAAAGTTAACATACTAATTAGCAATGTGCCCTTGAGACAGACTGCTCTGACTTACATGCCTACCCAGTAGTATTTGAGAGTATGTATACTTAAATCTTCAAATTTCACAGGTTTATTGTTTTGATTGTCACTTCTCTAATGATTAGTCAGAACAGATTTTTTTTCATTTGATTATATACCAGTTGCCTATCATATGTTTTCCTCCCTCTCTACTTTCTCATTAGCTGAATCCCTTTAATTTTTTATAAAGCAACTTAAGAGTCCCTCTCAGAATGTCAAAAGACTATTAATACAGTGCTATGACCTGGCATGATGGTGCATGCCTATAATTCCAGCACCCTGGGAGGTTAGGCAGGAGGATTTCAAGTTCTAGCCCAGCCAGGGTAGTTTAATGACTTAATGTGATGCTATCTCTAAACAATAAGAAAAGGGCTAGGGATGTACGTAGCTCAGTGCAAAGGCCCTGGGTTCAATCCCTAGTGCAGGGAGAGGAAAAAAAAAAAGGAGTACTATGTGCTATGGTTTTAACTCAGGGGTAGAACCCTTGTCTAGCACGTGTGAGGTCCTGGATCCAATCTCCAGTGCCACAAACAAATGCAGTACTATTCACTAAAAGTCAGGCGAGAGCCTATATCTGCTTTTCTTATTAACAAGCTGGTTCTTCTCAAAGTCCTGGTAAAACTCTCAGAGGTAAGAGTTGCTTCAGTGTAGGAAGTTTTGTGAAAGTGAAGTGCAATACAGGAGGCCAAAGGTTTTGGCAGAGTAATTCTGGTGGCAAACAGGTTGGACTTGGTGGCATGATAACCTCAGTATAAACAAAGTAAGATGATGAGGTGCCAAAAGAGCAGCAGAAGCACCTGTGCCGGCCTCGTTCCCACGGCTTGGTGCTTGCGAAGTGCTGAGCTCCAGTCAGCCTGTTTACAGCCTGTTAAAAAGTCAGCGCCGCACTTACCTGCGCCTTGCTTTATCTATTACTGTCTACCACTGATCTCTCTTGACTTTTTTTAAATCTTTTTTTAAAATCTGTCTTGACTTTGCCTAATTTTTATTCAATTTTAATCACAAAGAAAGACCATAATCAGCTATGTACCTTAACTTTTTTTTTTTAAATAAAGGGAAAATGCAAACATTTCTCCTTCTCTTAAAAGTGTTTTCTTAACACTATCATTCCTTTTTGGGGAGGGGAAAGAGGGGAACATTTTCTTCTTTGAAAGATTGTAAATGTCGGGCCGGGGATATAGCTCAGTGGCGCAAGCACCTGCCTGAGAAGCGCGAGGTCGTGAGTTCAATTCCCGATACCAAAAAAAAAAAAAAAAAAGGAAGATTGTAAATGTCTTCAGAAAACTAATACGTTAGAAAAACATCATTACGATGAGAAAAACCATTTTTTTCTGGTCAGCTGAGAGATCATTTGGATTTTTTTTCACATTAAAACTAAATATTAGATTTTTCTTAGAAGTTTGTCCTAACAGCAGTAAGCTATGAAACACACTAGAATGGAAGAAGCACTTCACTTGAGAGGCTTCTTAAGCACTAAAGACAAATCTCTTTTGTGTAGCCTGGCATGGTGGTACACGCCTGTAAACCCAGCACTCAGGAGGCTGAGGCAGGAGGATCGTTGCGAGTTCGAGACCAGCCTGGGCTACAAAGTGAGCTCAAGGCCAGTTTGAACTGCATAGTGAGACCCTGTCTCAAAAAAAACAAAACAAAAGCCAAAAAAAACAACCCCCCCCACCAAAAAAGCAAATCTCTTTTGTGTACAGGTCAGAAAGTGTTTACAGTTCTTTCTTTTACATCTGCTTTCTACAGTTGGAACTTGTTTTCCATACCTACACCCACAACCCTGGTTTCCTATGTAAGAAAGATTTATTTTAAAAGCTTTTACTAGGCCATCACATGATGACAGCTTTGGGATCACAATGGACATCTGTTCCTATGGAACCACCTGTTATCTGGTTTCTTTCCAGGCAAGAAGAAGATGGGAGGGGGAAGGCCCCCAGAGAAAAACCACCACACCAACAAGCAAACAGAAAAACTTCTGGCCCAAAGCAATAAAAACCAAATTCTGCTCCAAATTTAAATTCCAATTGTAAGTAGGTACCCAAAGCATACTTAATTTGGGAAGACCCTATTCCAAGGCCATGTCATCTGCTGCTACTGGCTCCCCTACTTACCAGATTGCTGCTTCAGCTGCTCTTTTTGGATTGCTGCAAACTGTTTGGCATCAGCCAGGGAGCCAAAAAGAGCAGCAAAGGGGTTACTTGAGATGTTGTTGTTATTCTCCTGGTCTGTCATTTCACTTTAAGGTATCCTCCATCCAGACCTAGGGGGTGGGGCTATGCAAAGGGCAGGTATTAGACTCAGAAGGGTGGATAACGCAACAGCTGTAACACACCTACGGTTTTTTGTTTTCCCATTTCTTAAACACAATACATTTGAGACTCTGGGTTAACATCTGCCAATTCCTGTTTCAAAACTCAAGAGACTTTTGGTAAGATGGTTGCAAACCTACTAACTGGACAAGATGGCCTGCTTTGGGAAAAGCTAAAACCAAAATACCTAAAACATGAATGCATTTATCTGTTTCTATGTGTTATACCTTTAAGAAAATAGGGTAAATAGAAAGAATTACTGACGCTGGGTGTGATGGTGCACACCTCTCAGCCCAGCACTTGAAAGCAGAGGCAGGAGGACTGCCGCAAGTTCAAGGCCAGCCTGAATGACAGAGTAAGACCTTGTATAAAAAAAAAAAAAAAAAAAAAAAAAATTACTGACAAAGAGAGAACCCCCTAATAGTTATAAGAATGACATGGCACTTAGAAAATAGTAAGACAGGAACAATGGATTTCACGTACGTCTCCAAGCTGCCAGCCTAGTTCTCATTCGTTATGTGCAGGACAGAAAGGTATCTACTCAGACTTAGGGGTGAAGCTCAGAATTCCTCACTACATAAAAACTCAGATTTGGAATGGTAAATCTGGACTGGAACCAGTTCAGCTCTATATTCTGGATCTTTAATGTATATTAAGCAATCTATCTCTGTTTATAGACTTAAAACTATTGACATTTGTTCAACTAAAATCTGAAGTCTTTGCTTATTTTTACACGTAAATTTCTGATTTCTTGCAATACTGAAGAAATAAAAATTCTAAGTGATTTATCTGATTTTTTGTAACACCAAAGAATATAAATTCCAACTGTTAGGCCTAACGTATAACCCCAGTGACGTATACCTCAAAGGTATTTAGGAGCCACCAGAGCCTGCATTTGTACTCTTCTGATTACATCTCATTCAAAGTCAAATGAACTCAGTGGTACAATGGGATGAGCAGAACTCCCAGAAAAGGCCTTTTTTCCTTTCTAAAGGACTAAGGCCACAGGATAAAAATACAACCCTGAAAAGGGTCAGCAGAGACACAGAGTATGAACATTCTGCTTACTAGGATCCTGAGCTGCTACAGGGCCTTAGAAAGAGTATGAACAGGGATGTAAAGGAAGAAAAGAAAAAACATTTTGTCCACATTTAGTTTATTAAGGTAAGATTCTTGACTGCCGGGCGTGGTAGCGCACACCTGTAATCCCAGCACTCAGGAGGCTGAGGCAGGAGGATCATTGTAAGTTCGAGACCAGCCTGGG